GCCATAGTATGTATCCTAATAGGTGTTACGATAAAAATTACTGTTATAGCTATATACAGCACATACTTTATGGACATTTATATGCTGAGAAAATGCAGGAGGAGCAATTTTCTAAAATTGTGTACCTTTAGTAATGTCAGAAGGAGCGGAAACACATCGGTGCTAGAATCTGACGACTTTGAATATAAAAAGCTAATTAAGAAATTTTTTTTTAAGAAAGTATACTATTCGTTAAGGAAAAAACATAAGCACATGGAATTGTACATGCTAAAAATTTATAACAGTACATTTAATTACTACTTCTGTAACGTGAGGGATGTTTTTTACGCATTAATATGGTACATCAGTTTATACTACTGGAGAAGAGATACGTACGACACGATGTGGAATTTTGACAACATACCGATATACATTCATAACATTTTGATTGTCCTCTTGTCCTCGTCCTACATCGATTTAATTATGGTCATTCTGAGTTACAGCAAATCTAAGTATTATGTAATGAAGTCGAAATTTCTAATAGACGCGTTTTTCAGCGCACCAAGTGTATTTTTCTTTTCCAAGTATCTTTTTGTTCTTGATAATAAGATAGACATATATTTTATAATGGGTTTTTTACGAAATATTAAGATATTTCTGAATGTGTCCTACGTGAGAGTAGAGCAGAACTCCATCTTAACCAATACAGAAATTAAAATCGTTCGAATTGTGCTGGGAGTTCTTCTTCTGTGTAACGCGTTCGCCTCAACCGTTTACACCATTCAGGCGATTCACCCTTACAATTTGGAAAACGGAAATTTCTCCTATTTTCTGAATAGCTATTTGGATTATTTTTACTTCTCCATAATATCCATCTCGACTGTTGGGTATGGAGACATATTTCCCATTAACAAATTAAGCAAAGTAGTGTGTATCATTTTTATATTCTGGACCTTCATTTGGGTTCCAATACAATTCAATGATTTGATTATTTCCATTTTCTCTAAAAAGACAACCTATGGTAAGCTTAGCATGAACAGTCAGAAGTTTATTCTGCTAATTGGAGAAGTAGAGCCGCAAAAGTTAAATGTTTTCCTTTTCGAGTCTATTGCGTATGGAAATAAGTTAAAATTTCACATCCTTACCACTTACCCCATAAATTGTTACAAAGAACAAATAAAGATAGCGGATCACTTTTGCATATCTCTTTACATTAAAAGCTTCGATTTGAATGAAAAACAAAATACAAATTTGCTCTACAGCATCAATGCCCAGAATGCATACTACTTATTTTTATTTTCTGATAAATTCAATAATGGGCATTACAACATAGACACAAAATCCTTTACAAGATTATTAATTTTGAAGAAATTTTTACATGGGAAAAAAAACGCTCTCATAGAATTACGAAATAAAAGTGTTTCTAATGTTGTCAAGTCTATTGGCTGTGAAAATTTTATCATTGACATTTTGAAGCATTCCTTAATTGTTAAGAATGTCAAGCACCCTGGGGTTATTACCCTAATTTTAAGCTTGTTCACTGCATACAAATATGAGCCAGAGTGCGACGCGCTTGACGATATGCGTGATTCCTTCTCCTCTCTGAAATATATTGGTGAATATATCAGGGGATCCCGAACAAAAATTTTCTCCTTTTTCGTTCACAAAAATATGGTTGGACTCAAATTCGATAAATTATTTTACAAATTGTATGAATCCCTTGGCATTATTCTAATCGGCATCGAAACGGACAACGGGATGGTACCCAACGTTAGGCGCAATTGCGCCTCGCATAAAGTGGCAAACTTCGTTAAGGGGAAAAAGGCACGGAGGCAAAGATTTAAAGTTGTCTTCCTTAACCTGTTAAGGAGGTATACTCATTCGTGTAACCCCGCCTATACAGAGCGACCGTTACACAAACAAACAGTCATTTGGAATGGCATCCAAAGTGGTCACACCAGGAGGCGAAGAATAAAGACAGACTCAACGGAATCGTCTAATTTGTTAAAAATGAACCTGGGTTATGACTCAAGTAGGGGAAAAGATCATTCTAGCAGCTTCATCGGAGAATGTGGGAACTACCACATGAGGGGGAACAAAGCACAGGAAACTGTGCCCCATAGAAGAAAAAACAAACATGATATTATCTCAAGCGAAGGAAATATTTGCATAAACATTAGTAGAAGCAACAGTACAAGTAACAAACTACGGGAGAGATGCACCACCAAGAGGGAGCCACACATGGAAGAGTTAAAAAAGTGGGACAACAACATAATCCACGCAAAGACGAATAACAAATGGGGATACGATACGAACATAAGTAAAAACACGAAACAGTTAAAATGCTACCTGAATTTGTTGGGCACAAATTACTCCATTAGGGAAAATGACAAATGTGTAGTTATTGCGAATTCTAAAAAGGTTATTAAATACCTGTCCATGGCAAAAAGCCTGTTTTGGCTATTCGAAATAGAAAGTAAAAAAGAGAAGAACATTTCATACGATTTGAAGTCAGTCATAAAAACTAAGAAAACTTTTAACAAATATTTGTCGTCGAATTTAAGGAAGAATATGCTAACCATGTCCCATGGGAATAACAGAAACCTGGTCCACAAAGGTCAAAATCTGATAGCCATAAACTACCACGACTTGTTTTTTAGTAGCTACAAAATTTCGAGAGTTTTTTCGAAAAGGAGTTATCCATTTGGGAAAAAGATCAAGACGGTTAAATATGCAGGGGGGCACTATACGCGCGATTTGGTAAGTGGGGGAAATTGTCCTAACATCATTTTCAGTGCTGAAGGTTGCCAGGGGAGTGGTGATAAAAATGTGGATTCTCAAAATGGGAATTATCAAGATGAGGAGAATTGCGATAGATGCTCTCATGTTCCCCCTTGTGATACTAATAATTGGGACTTTAAAGGATGTAATTTTATCAGTTGCATTCCAGACAGATGCAATGTTGAAACTCGCGTCGGCAGACACGCCGAGGGGGATACCATCGTGGCATCTTCACGTTACTTGGAGAGCACCCCCGGAAGATTCCACATGGGTAATCCCACAAGCAGTGTTAATTTGTCTTACCCAGAAACTCGTACCTTTGAAAACGCGCTAGACAACTCTGTGTCGCAGAACAGCTATGTAGAGCCCCAGCTCGTGCATTCACATCACAAAGGGGCTAGGAAAAAGTACGGGTATTATTGTATCCACAAAAAAAAATTAAAAAAAAAAAATTATTTAATTAATTATGTGAATTTTTTAAAAAGACAAGAAAAAGGAAATTATAGAGCTGCAAAAAATGGTCTCAATAATGTCCACAAGGATAGCCTGAGTGATGGCTTTAATGCTGCCTTGAAAAGCCCGATAGCATATTCGTACGAAGAAGCCTGCGAAAAGTATTTCCCTCGAGGGAGGAGGAACAAATTATTGCTAATAATAAATTGTACGTCAAATACGATTGAGCTAATCAAAATGGTGAACCCTAAGTGTACATATAATGTAGTTATACTTACGGACGAGGTGCCAGCTATCAATATGTACGACTTTTGTAAGTACAATGTGGTGTTTATAAAATGCAAGTCTTTGGACGACTACAACATATTAAACGCTGGCCTTATGCAGGCCTATTACGTGATAATCCTTCCAACAGATGCAAACAATGCTGATGAAATAAACGAGATAGACATGAACAATATAATATTAACAAGGAAAATGATCCATTTAATGCGGAAAAGGAAAACGTCTTTTTACATAAATAACATAATGACTGAGTTGATTAACCCCGCTAATGTTATTTTTTTGGAAGAAAATAAAATGATAAAATTAAAGGACAAGAAATCTTCCTACAGTGATTTTTTCCCTTATGTAAATTGTTCCCGCTTTTATTCAAGCAATCTAATATGCGAAACGATGCTATACAATTTTATGGCGCACCATAAAAGCTTCACCAAATTTTCCGTGTGTAATGACACATTGGAAAGCCTCATAAAATACATCAGCGTAATTTATATATACGACTTGAACAAGTACTTTGATTTTTCTTTTAAAAAAATTAGGACCTTCCGCGATCTGTTTTATTTCTTATCCAAGAGGAATATCACTGCTATTGGTTTGTACAGGCGCGGCGACAAAAACGTCCCCTTCTACGTTTACACTAAACCGAGCGAAAATTGCGAACTTAAGCTGGACGACATGGTTTACGTTTTGTAGGGGCTACCGCAGTGTTCATTGCTGCGGTTGTCGCTGCTTATTTGGTTTTATTTTACTGTTTTTTTTTATGTTACATATTTTATTTTACTCCACTTTATTTCACTCGATTTTACTTTATTTCATTACATCCTTCTTGTCCATCGCTGGGCAGTGTTTCACCCCCTCGGCGCACCGTCATGGGCGTTAAACGCTCCCCCAATTTATTTGTCTGTCAAGCAGTTCGTGCAAAACCCTTTACCACCTTCTTTTGTTTCCTCCGTTGTAAAAATGCTCAGAGTGCTGTGTGTGTGCATATGCCTACAAATGCACATACTTTTGTGCAAACCTGTTTCACTCATCACTTCCTACACTTATAAATTAGCTAGCCCCCAAATGGGATGAACAATAATTCTTAGCTGTCCTTTCTCCAACGCGTAGAGATACCCATTCCACGTTTTTAAGCCACCGTATCTGCTACGTGACGGAAAAGAAAATATAGCAATGTTTTGCTGAATATCTACATTTGCATTCGGAAGAATGGGGAAACCTCCCTTTGGGGAGAATAGACTCATTCATACGTCATACAGTCATTTTATTATTTTCTTTTTTTCCCTTATAAAGAATTAAAAAATTTTTAAATAGTGTATACAAGCTGTTTTTCCTCACAACAACATTTGAAACAAAAGTGGAATTAAAAATGTATATAAAAAAAAAAAAAAAATTCAAAATAAATTCAAAAATGATACGACAAAAGAAACTTCCCTTTTTTAATAACGCATATTGCGCAAATGAATGGAAACTGCTTAGGCTATTCCTGGACAGTCTGCCCACCGTCAAAGCACACATACTGACCCTTTCGAATCGCACATCGTATTTTTGCAGAGCATTTTCCTGTAAAATTCCAAATTCTTCTGTGAAATAATATCTCGGACGAATGCCAAGTACTGATAAAAGTCGTCTATCACTTCCTTGAAATCGTCATCTTCGTATTTTTCTCCCTTGTCCTCCACACCAATGGTGTTGAAGTTAAAGTTATTCACAATTATACTGTAGTCTTCTGCTAAATTTTGCTACATTATGATTAGAAAGAGAAGAGATGAAATGGGGGGAAAAAAAAATAATGTCTTTTAATCCCTCAAAGTGAGAGGAATTATCTCACACCCCTAGTGTTTGTTGTCGAAGGTGCACCATGTACATGTCTTCCCCTAAACACATTTGGCATTCTTCCCTACCGCGCATCTAATCCGATACTTATTGAAGCTGCGGTGTATTATGTGCAAAATGTTGTAGTATTTTTTTTGCTCATTTTTACACATCCTCAACCTTAAGGAGATGTAAATATCATATAAATTCTTTTCATCGGGCGTGAAATAAATTATGTCTTCCTGTCCTTGGTTCTCTAGCATGGGAGCCTGAGTTAATCGCAAGCATAAATTTTTATTTCTTAAAAAAGGTGTAGCGTCCATGGGTATATTTACTGCTGCACACAAGTGAGCATTCCTTGCTTAATATGTGTATGTTCGGCGGCTGACCTTTTTGGGATACTTTTTGGAGTAGCTCAAAAACCCGAGAACTTCCCTTCTCTGCAAAAAGTAGGACCCATATGTTGTGTTCGTTTTGCGCAGTTACTTTACTTTTTGCTTTCCCCAGTTTTTATTTTGCTCTATTTTCGCCACTTCCCTGAGGCAACTGGGTGAACGTAGGAAACCTCAATTCACAAATGCTCAGTGCATTACCTCAAGAAACGGAATGGTGAAATTCACGGCGCTTTCTATTTGAAAGGAAAACAGGATAACACGGGAATATTTTAACTTTGCGCATGCTAAGGCGTCCTTCAAAAAGACATGGCGCTTTCTTTTGATTAGTTTATTCTTGATATTCGGGTAACTAATGGTGTAGACATTGAACTGCAGGTCCTCCGCGACTACGATGTTTTGGGGTGTGCATTGGGGGCAAGTATAGCCCAGGGTGTATGAAGCGCCACGTCATGGGGGGTCTACCCAACGTGATGGGATTTTGTGCACCACCATGCTCAAGTTCACATATTTTGCACAAGAGACTCATTCGCACGTCGTACTTTTGGCTAGCCTCGAGCTCATCCAGTCGTCGGTGCTCATCGGTCCAAAAAACACAACGTTGTATTTGCTGTCATTCACCAGCTCTAAGGTAAAAAAAAGTAGTGCGAAAGATGTTTTGGGTTATTTTATTTTTTTCCTTGCTTTAAGTTATGATATCTCGTTTTTCTTTCTAGTTTGTTACTTTTTTTAATTGATATTCCGTCATATTTGCACTGTAGCACGCTTCTGTTGTTCACTTTGCAAAAAATGAAGAAGAATTAGCGAGATGGAGGGGTGTGATTAAAATCGCGTGGGTGCAAGTTTTACAACATTGTAAGCGATAAGAGTATACACACAATTGTATAGGAATATTGTGTAATATATTTTTTTTCTTCCATTTGTACTGTTAATAACTGCCATTATTAGCACAATCATCAATCCGAAGAAGGCACACTGGATGGAGCTGATAATTCGTAACTGAGGAGTGGCAAATGGGGAAATGTGATAAGGGGAGTTAACAACAGGATTGGCACATGTGCTCACAGTTTCTCACGTTAACCCCTACCGATGCGATATTTTTATTATTTCTGTCTTTGCAGAAGGATCCAAAAATTGAAGCTAAAAACGAAATAAAAAAAAAAATGCAAGCACAACTTTGGTGACTCAAGAAGACAGCAAATACACACTTCACAAAACATTAAAAAAAATGTGTGAACCAATTTATGATTACCTATGACCCATCCTAAATATGGCAGAAGGCAGAACCCAGAGTAGTAAAAAATTCTGATACTAAGGTGGAAAAAGAAAGGGGTAGAACATAATTCCGGGTTTAACATATCTAGGGACATACCTACTAACGTATGTGCACACGTGTCTGTGTATCCACCCTTGCTAATGCTGCACAAACGCAACTTTTTTTTTTCGATTGGCATTACATTTTTTCATCTCTGATAATTGTGGAGCCAAAGGGGTTTTTAAATAACCAAGAAAAACTGAGGCGATCAAAATTATCTAGCAAATTTTGTACCTCCGTATCGTATTTATTGCACAATTCGTCGATGCCTTTAAATTTCACTTGCTCATTTTTGTGAGTCTTCGATCTGTACATACTTGGGGAGGGTTCGTAATTTAATTGTTCCATTGTAGTTGATCGTCCGATTATTTCTTCCTTGTCTGCATTTTCCTCATGTGTGGAATTTTCTCCCCCTTTCATTTCATCATAGCTTCGAACGCTACTTTTTTTTTCTCTAAGATGAGCGCTGCCCTTGGGGGAGGAGACATACGACATCTTGTCTAATATTCGTGATTCTTTAACCTGCGTGTACTTCACCTCCTCCCCTGTCCCCTTTATATCCTCTACAATTTTCATAGCCGAATCCTTTTTGGTGAATGAACACTGTCCTTCCATTAACTCCTGCTCCTTGCCCAATTCGACCTGTTCATTTTCCTCCACCTTTGATTTTCTTTTCCGAATCATGTTGGCTGTTTACCTGTGTTACAATGTGTATATGTGCATGCAAGAACACCGTTAGATGCGTACCGGGGAACTCCCCCTCCTGTGAAATGGCCCTTAGAGCAACCTCGGCAAAGGAACACACATAGGAATGCTATTTTTCGGGGATGTGTCAAATGAGCAGCGGCGTTTTTGCTGATTAATATTTGCAACATTAAGGATTTTTATTTTAAAAATTGTGTAGCGTGTATGTCTAGTAGTTATAAATTAATGCTAGGCAAAAAGACGAATTGAAAACGGAGGCAGGGACGAAATAATTTCTTGTGACGATGCGAACAGTGGACTGCATAGAGGGGTGAACATATATTCGCTCGGTATAACACATATTAGGGGAAAAAAAAAAAAAAAAAAACCTGCATAATGTGCATAAATCACACCGATTTAGCTAAGCCTGAAAGGGAAAGCCGAAGAGCATAAAAAGGACATTAACTCTCATTTTGTGCAATACGGATATGCGTATGCGCATGCATAAGAGGATATGTGCACATAAGCACTTTCACAAATTGGCTCTGTAAAGAACCCAAGTTTGAAAAATTTACAGGTTCTCTTAAGTATTACCAATTTTCATTTTGTCCTTTTCAAATATTGCATAATACTTTTGCAAAAATATTTGTCCAAGAATCTACACAAGGGGGGGGAGGAAAAAAGAAGAAGAAGCATTTATTCACATTGATGCATCTTCCCCGCTGTATTATCTCTGCTACTTCCACACACGTATGCAGTACACCTTTATGTGTTTTGTCTACTGTTCATACATATAAATATCTATTAGCCGAAGAAATATTAATTGGCATGAAGGCGAAGTTGCAGGGGGACTTCAAAACAGGGTCGACTCTGAACGATTCAACTATGTAATCCTGCGGCGTTAATTCGTATTCCTTTTGTTCGCCTGTCAAATGGGGTGGGGTAAAAAAAACACAAGCACATGTGTGGAAATATACAAGTATATATAACTGCGCCTATGGTACTCCTTCTAATGCGTCTTTTGTTTCTGACCAAAATGTTCTTTTACCATTTTCATCACTTAAAAGGAAAGAAAATCTTTTTAGTAGTGCCCTGTTGTGGCAGTTCCTCCTAGGGTTTAGCAATCTAGTTAATAAAATTAAGTCTGTAAAGTGTTAATTTAAGTTTTTATATAAAGCTCCCTATGATGATACATTTGAGAAAATTGAATAACACAAATGAGATCATCATTTTACCGTCTTTGGGCCCAGCGATGCTCGACGTGCCTGTATCAATGACTGCTTCGCAGTAGCCACCTAACATTAGAGAAAAGGATATTGTAACCCCTGAATTGTCCTGAAAAAGTAAAGCAAACGTTAAAAAGTCACACCTCAGGTTGCCAACTTATATTCATGCCCTTATTATACAGACCTATATTTTTGGAACACACGTCTAGGAATACTCCATTTATTTTCAGTCCTATCTGTATATTTACAACAAAAGGTTGGAGGTAAGTTTTTATCGTTTTGCATTGCTTTAATTTTTACGCTTATAAAGAATGTGCTGAGCTTACCATTTTGACTGCCCAGTATTTTCTGGACGAAACGTCAAACCAGTCGATGTTTTCGTTGGGTTGGATAAATCTTAACGGGGATGATCACAGAGCGTGACAACAGTGTGCATTAAAATGTGCGTCTGCATGTGCATCGAAATATGCTTCTATATGCGCACTTAAACGTGTGATCGCTCGAATTTCTTTCATTTTTTCCTTGCTCACTTTTTATGGTATCCCCCGAAGGTTATCGCGCCATCGTCGTCCACATTTTTGGGGTAGTAAATCGAGAACACGTTTTTTTTTGACCGGCCCCTTGGTATGTTGTCATAGATCAACGTTTTTCTCCTTTTATCATCGGAAATGCCTAGGCCGAATAGGCCATCGAATTCTGGGCGCGAAAAAAAAAAGGACAGCCATTTAGAGGAGCTTCGCCGTACGTACTACGCGAGTTAGAAACTAATAATATATACAACGCGGTATTTCTTTTCTTTTTCTATCTTGTCATTACTCATATCCGAAAAAGGGTCATCGGATATATAACTGGCTACTCCAAACTCCTGGTTTTTTACCCTAACAAATTAACGCAACATAGGGATATACAGCATGGGGTCCACTGTTATTTTATTTCTCCCCTTTGACGAGTGTGTGTACATCATTCACGTTTCTTACGTAATGTCTCCCAAGTGAATATCATCAGAAACGTAAGCGATTTGTATTTTGCCTGTACCAAAGAAAACTTCCACGGGGTTCTTTTTGTAGACTGATTTGTAATTTTTGGAAATTCTGTGGTCGTATTTTCTTTTGCTATGGCAGGCCTGCGTTTGGCAGTTTTTCGATGGGATCCACAAGTTTGTACTTCCTTGACAGCACAAAGAACAGAGAGAAAAAAAAATGTGTATATGTGTACCTGCTTATGCTCCTTTACAGATGGTTGCCTAGACACACGTCATGCGTTTTATCGATATATACGAATGTACATGTGGTACAAATGTGCTGCTTCTCTTTTAGTGCTCTTCATTTTTTTCTTCCTAACCAGTATCAAATAGGACCTTGAACGCCTGGGGGGGACTTCCAATGCATATTTCTCCAATGAATCTTTTGTACATCAACAAAGGGGAAGAAATAAAAAAAAAAAAAAAAAAAAAAAAGAGAAAAAGAATCTATCCATACGAAAAAAACAATGCATACCCCCAAAGTGCGTAAAATGTATAGCTCTTCCTAATGGAGAAGTTAAAGCAAAATGCGTTAATTTCGTTTTACCCCTCCATGAACCTTCTTG